TGAGTGAGAGCGTGATATGGGGATTATTCTTCATGGACTTATAGGTTTAGCTTGGGGATTGACCTGCCTTGTGTTACAGGTCTTCTTGATCGATTGATTTAGGACCTGGACTAGATTCAGTTGATCCTACGAGGATCATCTTCTGTTATCACTGATAACAGGTCGGTTGCCGACTCGTCGGTTTACGACTCAACTCCAATCCACTCTTGTCACTCAACCTAAAGGTTTTTGCCTTGTGATTTGAATTGTTTTGTTGTGTTTTTACCCGGACTTTGTTTAATGGTCATCCAACTAAAGTACTGAGTATTTATTTAAGAGTTGCACGAGTGAGGCTTGTATGGCTAAAGCGAGGGGTATGAGTGCAAGGAATGGTTGAAGTTGACCCCGTGTAGTACGTGAACTTATGGTTGAATCTTTGATGTGATTGCAGATATGTTTCTGGTTCGGACTCTGGATGTGATTGCCTGCGATTACATACATATATGGCTGAGAGGGGCCTTACTGTGACTGTGAGAAGTGATTGCCCTATATAACTAAACCTTTGTATATATCTATATATGCTTGGGTATGCGCGCGCCTTACTGTGATCGAGCGCAAGGGTTAACCAGATTGTGTCTTAAGAGAAAAGGGAGATTCTTTTTTTTTACCCCTGCTTTTTAGAATTGTATGGTTGGACGTTGTAGTCTGTGGCATCCGTCAAAGTCAAACCCCTTTACTTCCGCCCAGACCTGGAGTAGGACCCATCCCCAGGGTCGCAAGAAACGACTGCCACCACAGGTATGGACCTATGTACCACCCGCTCTGCATAAGATGCAAAAGAGGGTGTGTGGTCTTCAACCACATGGCAGTTGTCTAGCGTCGAGAGATTAACCCTAAAGGCGAGTGTCAGCCGACACTTGAGTGTCGAACGTGACCCTCGAGATCAACGAGGACCGCGAGAGTGTGGGTACCACATAGTACGCCATCATCGCGACTGCTTGCGCACATTTGCATTTCGAATCGACATGAGATAACCCTGCGTCCGCGCGGTTTTATATCGAGTCGCGCGCGGGACGCCTATCCGATTTCCGCATCTAAGAGTTATGGGATGGCTACTAAGGGACTAGGAGTGTTGTCGCGTTGTTTGATGTGTGTGGGTGTGTGTTTTATTTTTGTGTTCGTAAAGTGGTGTGCGCGTGGCGTGTGGGATGCGTCCTAGTCGACCGACGGCGAGTCGTGCTTGGGACCTCAGCCCCCCTCAAGATGTCGGTTCGTGTGCGGGTCCGATAGGTGTATTACCGCGCGTAACCCCTATGCTACGGCGAACGAGAAATGCCCTTGGCTGGTCCACCTCTGCGATTGCAACTGATTAACTTTCATATTGTGGATTGGTAGCTCAGCGGGGATACGCCCACCGAAGGGAGGTGACAGCTCCCATAAGGTGGAGGTAAGTTGTGCCTCGCGTAGGCCCTATCCTGTCGTAGGGGCTCGCGAGAGGTATGGCTGGCGCACTCGGCTGGAGCGGCCTAGGGAAGCTCCATTTGCGTGTTCGTGACGAGGTTAGTCCAACTCCTGCGTGACGCGGCCGAGAGGGTCCCGCACTGCCACTCGCGGTGTCGGACCGATGCGCTCGACAGCGCTGTGTGGGATAACAAGGGAGAGTGAGGGAGAAGAGAGGGACATACCTGGTGGAGATGAAGTCGACATTGAAGTTGACATCATCACTCGCTGGTCGTCCAGTTATTTGGTTGCTTTCATGCTGTAGTTCTAGTGATAGGCTGTAGAGTAGGTAGGGCGCCTGGCGCCATTCAAGAGAGAGAGCTACATTGGGTTATGCTGTTTGTGTTGCCCGATTAGGCTTGGACATTGACTCACGATTCTTCTGTATTATTCTCAAATGGATGGTTACTCGGTTCCATTGTGCTATCTGGTCTTGCTTTGATTACTTGGACTTCAGTGTGATTTTGCAATCTCGATTTCTGCGCTTCATCCACATTCATGTTCGTTGCAAATGAACCAATTAATAAAATATAATATGGGGTTCTAGGGTTTGAAAATACCTACAACCCTATACTTTTTGTTTTGGATTACGAAGTGTTTTTTCATTAAAAAAAAAATAAAAAACAAAAAAACAAGTATTTTAATAAAAAAAAGGTAATAATATATATATATATATATATATATATATATATATATATATATATATATATATATATATATATATATATATATATA